CACTAGATTCTATCGGGAGGTAGTTCAGCATCAACTTAGTTGTTGTTTGGTCAAAAACCAAAGATGTAGATGTTCATTGTTGGAGTTGTGTATAATAATGAACTAAATTACCAATAGATGGTCAGAAACTAATTTATGAACGGAAACTTGACTTTGATTGACACATTCGGGCATAGCACATTAGCAGTGCGCCATATAGCAGCTATGCATGATACACATGGATGCTGGCTGTTAATGTCGACTGTAGCCTTACCACTCAACTTTGAGAAATTCTCACCACCGATGACTCCGACCAAATGTCGCAAAGCCTTCAGCTCGCCGTGATGTGATCTGTCGTGGCCGCCGAAACTTTTCGATGGGGAATCAATTTCATCTTCATACGCGCGAGGCCGGCTGCAGTCCGATCCGCTCTGGAATGTCGTCGTTGAGGATTTACCAAATTCATCAGAGTATGTTAAAGTGACTGTCGTATGAGCTAAACCAATATGATGGTCAGGAACCTCATCCACGATGGAGATCTCATATGGTATCTTCAGCTTTTGCAGTAGTTCACACACATAATATGCTCCAACGTTGCAAACTCCGCATGCCTCCACCTCACCAATGTCACCCGTCCGTATTGCTATTGCTAATTTTTCTAGCAGTTTTCCCATCATCTTTTCTATTTCATCATATGACTTCAAATATGTTGCGTTTGCCAACGCAGTGAGTTCCTGAGGGGAGAGGTTTTCGAGGTCGCCCATGCCGTTCATCAACTCTGTCAGCACATCGCCTGTGAGAGCGTCTAGTCTTCTCAACGACCACAGTAGTGAACACCTCGCGCGATCGTCCATTCTATCCGGACCTCGCCGTAGGGCCTCCATAACAGCTTCGATGAATCTATCATCCCTAACACGGTGCTTGGCGAAAGCTCTCACAACATTAGCAATCTCAACCCCATCAAAATCTCCCATAGTCCGACACACTGAGGGGAGCAATGCTTTCAAATGCCCAGCAGTTGGCAGCGACCGGTTCCCCAGAGCCCAACACGCTGCTGCGACCACCTCCGAATCGTTCAAGTCAGCCGAGCCAGCGAGGCTCTCCCAGATGTCACATATACCAGATGGTAGCAGTGTTGCGAAGGCCCTCAGGAGCGCCACTTTATGTGATGATGACAGTTCCTTCATGAGCCGACCCTCTAGCAGTTTTCGACTTCCTTCGACCAGCCTACCATCGTAGTGACCACTTCTTGCCAATGCTGACATCAGGGAACAGCAGTCATCAGCACTCAGACGACTTAGTCTCACAAGCTCGCATGCTTCATAGAGCCTCGATCGATGCATGGGCGAACGACTGAGGACTACCACCAGTGACACCACAGCAGGACCTGGACACTGGTCGAGGCTAGCGGGTAGGACCTCCTCAAGGGCGTTGATGAAGACCTCCCGAGCCGCGGGCACGTTGCTGAGCGCTAAGAGGAGCTGTACTGGACCTTCCGTGAGTGACTCAGGTGTATCTTTCAATGCGATTTTGACCGCATCTTCGACCGAGTCAGACCACTCCAATACTGCTGATGCTCGAACGACTGTGGCGAGTTGCTCGATCGTCATACCATCACAAGAAGGCGGCGGCCACAGAGGAGACACTCGGCGAGCCCTAGCCAACGCCGAACACATCATCACAGTGGATGCCGGGGAAATGAGGTCAGAAGATACTTTCGCGAGGTTGCTCTCGCAGATTCGGAATAGGTCCCCAACAACACCAAGCCTGGCCAGAGACCACATAATGGTGGACAACTCCCTAGGACTGTCGGAATCAGTGAAGCTCTTCAAAGTCGGCATCTCAATAACCCCAACCACTTCGTGTGCAAGAGGCTCCATTATGGCAGGGCTGGCCGCGGCGAACGACCACAGTAACTCAGAAGCCACCGGGACTTCTATCGTGGATAGGGAACACCGGGAGACCAAGAGCTCAGCGATGCTAGTCAGGACTAGGGTGGCAGTGGGAGTGTGCGTAGAGCGACTTGTTCGAGCTGCTGACCAAGCCAGTGAGCTGAGGGAACGTATGGACCTGTTGGGAAGTAGGCACATGGTCAACTACAGTGAGAACCAAACCGTTATGGGGAAAATATATTCGGAACTTTCAATTCTCGAGGGTTAGAAAGTCAACTTTGAGTAATATCAACATGATAACAATGTGAATCGATTGACACCAACGTTTTAGAAGCATTCCGTAGTCTATAGTCGTATCTCGAAGATCTAGATATGCATAACTCGTCGGTTGGCACTGTACATGTATTGGTGACAATATGGAATATTTGAGGGAATTTTGGGAAGATCGTGTTGAATTCTGTACACTTCTCCCCTACTCCGCGTACATTTGAGTAAACTCCTGAGCTCAGTTGATGAAAGCGAACATATAATCCATCACCACTATCTGCTGACCTACTCTGAATCCACCTCGGTCAACCTCAAGATACGCCCATGAGCCTCTTGCAAAATGAGCCTTATATCAACGTCGGCTTTCACACATGCCTTCATCAGCTGCGCCAACTCAGCCAAGCTTCCTTCTACTGCAGCTGCGTGTACTGCCGTCCCAGAGGGCCTCGGGGCGAGCGCGATAACATCCAGCCTCACGATCGCTGACAGATACTGTCGCATCTGCGCAGCGGCTAAGTCGTCCGGGTCTAGCGGTTCGAAAATCTGAGCTGAAGTGGAGAAGTTCAATAACAACAAATTCCAAGATTCCCGATTCGCCATAGTCAAACGATGTTCCTCTCTCAAAAATATTGATGAAAAATCGGAAAAAAATATTATTTTTGGAAATCAAGTTCGTAACATATTCAAACAACGTGATCAGAAGAGCTGCTTTCATAGGAATCCTATATAGTGCGAACGGACGAGTTATGCATATCTAGATTTTCGAGATGGTTTTCTTCAATTCCATAATACGACTATAGACTACACTGTAGTCTACGTGAATTTTCCACGTATGGCTAGGAACACATTCTTCAATCA